AAAAACAGACAAGGGTTTTGAACAGACATTTGTCCAAGGAACATACATATATGGCCAAAAGGTAAATGAAAAATATGCTTAATTTGATTAGCCGTCTGGAACTGTAAATGAAAACCATAATGAGATATTGCTTCACCCTTACTAAGATGGCAGTGATCAAAAAGGCAGACAATAACAAGTGTTGGCAAGGATGTGGAGAAACTGGAACCCTCTCCATTGCTGGTGGGAATGTAAAATGGTGTGATCACTTTGGAGTACAGTTTCGTTTCTCATGAAGTTAAAGAGAATTACCATATAACCCAAGGATTCTGCTTGCTAGGTACATGTCCAGTAGAACAAAAATGTACCCCCACACAAATTGCACATAAATGTTCCCAGCAATACCACTCACAATAGCCCCAAATTAGAAACAACCCAAATGGTTACCAATTCATGTATAGATAAATAAAATGTGTTATACCATTCAGTTACTTATAATGATTGAAGTAACTGGGTATGGTGGCACATGCTTGTAATCCCAACATTTCAGGAGGCTGAGGCAGAAGAATCTCAAGTTCAAGGTCAGCCTCAGCAACTTAGTGAGACCCTCAGCAACTTGGTGAGACCTACCCCAAAATAAAAAATTAAAAGGGGTGGGGATGTATCTCAGTGGACGCTAGGGTTCAATCCCTAGAACAACAACAACAAAGATTAAAGTGGTCTATGCTACAACATGGATGAAAGAAACTAGTCACCAAAACTTCACAAATGGCAAATCTACAGATAGAAAATAAGTTAGTGGTTGTCAATGGCTGGGAGATATCACAGGGTATGGAGTTTCTTTTGGAGGTGATAAAAATACTTAGAATTAGTAGTAATAATCATTGTCCAATCTTATAAATAAACTAAAAATCATTCAACTTTAAACTTAAAAAGGCAGAATTTTATGATATATAAATTATATCTCAATACAGGTGATATAACAAATTGATATTAATTTCAAATGTATTGCTATTATAGTTTTATTTTTAATCTCTTTGGATTTAATTGTCATATAAGACAATTAAAAGAGCCATATGCATTAGGTGCTTATACCTGGCTTTATAGGTGCGTATATTTAAATAATATCACAATTCAAATAATATGTCAATACTTAATTTTGGTCCATTATCCTAAAACTCATACCCCGTTTTGATCAGCAAACTAATCGGGAAGATCAGAACCCTAAGGCAGTTACTAAACTTTTCTGTTATCTCTGATCAACATTAGAGACTTTAAATTAGAATAAGGATTAGAAATGAGTTTCAACAGTAACAATAGTGGTTGGCTAGCCAGAATCATGAAAATACAAATGGATTCTCACTTGGGAGATCAGTGGCATCTAAGATATTTGAATGGCCTTAATATTCTAAAGACACCACCCTGACATTATCAGGCATGACAATTTAAGGCGTGCAACATGAACTGTATCTGTATGTTTGTCAAGACCTTGGATTCTGGTTGCCTGATGCCTGCTGAAAGGGTAACCGACAACAGGTGTTAGCAGACTGTATCTCTAAAGGTCCAATAGTAGATAATTTAAGCTTTGTGGGTCATATTGCCTGTTCAGTTCTGTCACTGGGGCGTGAAAGCATAAGCAAATAAATATGGCTAAGTTCCAATAAAACTTTATTAACAAAAGCAGGTGGTAGGCCATCACTGGTCAGTGACTGCTCTAGAACACAGAGTCTGCATCATGTAAGGTATGAGGCTACATCACCTAAAAGGACAGGAGACGTCAACAAACTCACAGGTCATGTCCTTGTTAACTGATACACATCTGTGCAAGAAATGCCCAAGTCTGGCTTGCTCCATCATCCAATCATAAGATGGCAAATTAGCAGCTAATCCTCACCCAACTCAACCTCTTGGGCAACTACCATTACCTACCAGAAAGAACCTAACAGTTGTTTATTATTCAATTAACAGATCACAAAGTTAACTCATTGTTTCTTTAATGGCCCTATCATTCTGATGGAATAAAAATTAAACTTGGGATAAGAAAATTAGAGGGCATCAGATAAAAAGCACATGTAAAGACAGAGCAGGGAAACAGAGCACCAGGAGATTCTAAAGACCTGGGCACCAGACCCAGTTTCCAGAGCCCAGGTGGCTGTCTCCAGGTGGACTTAAAAAGTAACTTGAAAAGGACTATAATTCATGGCACTGGAGGGAAGCAGCTATCCATTGTGACTAACCCCAAACCAACCATCTGAGATTGTAAAATTAGTTCCTTGATTTTCCAAATTTGATGTGAATCTGTTTAACATTCCCCAGTAGAAATTCCCTAAACCCACAGAGCCTTGGAGGTAAGCAGACCCTAGATAAAGTTCCACTTGGAAGCTTCAGCACTCCTTTGGGAAAGTTAACCCACGGAGGCCAACTCTGTTTATCCTTGTGCTTTAGCAGTCCACTAGAAAACTCCATTTCATTGCCCACTGCCAGTTGTTACTTCTCCCATCAATTCATCCTTTGAGAAATGTTCTGTTGGCATTATAATTGACTATTGTGTGAACTTTCTATTTACAGAAGGCCTCAGGACAGAATGTCTCAAACTTTGGTGACTCAAACTTTGGGATATTTGGGGGGAAAGTGCATGTGGGCCCTGCAATCTGCATTTGTAACCACTGTCCCTGTGTGATGCTGCTGCAGGTGCTCTAAGAAACACTTGCCCTTAGTGGCCTAGCATATCATACTCAAGCTACACTACTGCCCTTGGAACCTGGAGGCCTGTCCACATCCAGGAGAGAGAGGCCAACACATTACAACCACTTTGCTATCAGCAGCAGATAAATAAACCATACAGAATTGACAACAGACTTTCAAGTACCAGTTACATAATACCACCCACCAAAGTAAAAACAAAAATCTACCAGTCTATGCTTTTTAAGTTAGGTAGACAAGGTGGCCTTCATTCCATTCTACTGCATATCTGCTGTGTACCAAGTGTTGTGCAAGACATTGGGCACTGTATCAGAGATGATCCGAACAGCAAAATAGACAAGACCCCTGATTTGACCAGGAGCAATAAAACCTCGCCACAGGTACTCTATAAGTCAGCTAGATCCGCAGAACAGACATAGATATTAGATTGGAATGGAAGACACAAAAGGCTCCAAAAGAGATTTAACTTTAAACCCTTAGGTGTGAGATCAGGAAATAACAGGGTGACAGAAATGCACAACAGCTCTTCTGCCCAGGCCTAACCCAGGCGAAAAGGAAGACAAACCAGGGGATCACAGGGTGCTATGTCTTAGGATTAAGAAATTAAAACCATATAATAACTCTAGGTTCAAGGAACTCACAGAAAGGCCTATGACCACTGGAGACAGCATTTTAGATGGTACTGGAACTCAAGACTGCCCAAGGAGGTCTCAAGGCCAATGGTTGGACCTGTTTTCCACCTGATAATGCCCATCAGCTATCCTTGCACAAGGCAATTCAAGCATCTTATGTTCTTGGGCTGCTGTGTGTGTGTGTGTGTGTGTGTGTGTGTGTGTGTGTGTATGCGTGGACATACCCACCCACAAGAGAGAGACAAGAAAAATGGAGAGAAGCAGACAGGGCAGGAAGGGAGTGATGCAATGTCTATTGGTCAATGCAAACAGTCTAAAAGAAGAAAAATTGTCAGTTTATTCTTTTTTTAACTTGGTACTAGGTACTGAACCCAGGGGTGCTTTTCCACTGAGCTACATCCCCAAACCTTTTAACTTTTTGAGACAGTCTCCCTAAGTTGCCAGGTTTGGCCTCAATCTTGAGATCCTCCTACATCAGCCTCCCAAGTAGCTGGGATTACAAGCATGCACATGGCACCTAATGGTTTTTTTGTTTTTGTTTTTGTTTTGCAGCACCAGGGAGTGAACCCAGGGCCTCACGCACACTAGGCAAGCACTGAGCAACAACCCTAGCCCTAATTCAGTGGTTTTAAAAAAATGTTTTGCAGGGGACGTAGTGGGGAATGCCTCCTGCCTTTATCACCCACACCTTGTCTTACCATCCTTGCCTTCCTCCCTGCTTTCTTGCTGGGGAGGCCCCCCTCTCTACCATTGATCCTACCAAGAGGGTTGACCTTGGTAGGATCTATGAAACCATACCACTTCTGCATGGCCTGCTACTAATTACAGAAATAAATGAGAACCTGGAGGAAAGCATTACATCTGATTTCAGTCCCTAAGGTCAACAGTGACAGAAAGCAGGGCAACGTCCCAGGTACCAGAGGGCTTCAACAGAGACTGACTCAGAGAAAAAATGGTTGCTATTAAGAAAGCAAGCCTACAGTGCCCAGGCTGGTGGCCCAACATACTCTTGGCAGAGTCTGGCTTTTTCCTTTACACCAGGGCAATAAAAGAGTGAACTTGATATAGTTGCACAGCAAGTCCTGTTAAATAATCAACTCTGCTTTTAAATGAGCAAGCCCTCCATTTCAGCATCTGGCTCCAACACATCAAATCAAGGGGAAGATTTTCCCAAAGGCTGAGAGTTAAGCTACTTACTGACAGCTGGAAGCTTAATTACTGCTTTTCTTTGAGCATTAACTCCCACTAGCCAATGACTACACATCCTATTAGCCATGTAAATGAACGTGTCGAAAAAATCTCAAAGAAATTGGTCTAAATTTGAAGGAAATAAGGCAGTGGGATTAAGAGAAAAAAAGCCACTGAGCTCCACCCCCTCCTTTCTGTGTTCTTTTCACCGGGATTTCAAAACATGTCTTTGTCAAGGAGGCTTGGCTTCCAGGAGAGGACCAAATTCCTAAAGCCTGGAGACACTTGGAGTGCTTGTCCTCGACGACTCCACTCCTCAGACCTCCCAGCACCTCCAAGCCCTTTGGAGACATTTGTCAATGTCCACAGTCCTTCAGCCAAGCTACCCTAAGCATGTGAGCCAATCTCTGCTCATGCAAACTCACCTTTTTGCCTACAGAATTCCAAACCTCGCTAAGGAAATTCAAAAGGAGTTTATTCTGAAGGCATTCAACTTACCGCCACCTTTGTAGCAAACATGTACTTGTCCCGAAGCTGAAAGTCTCTCACTTCCTCAAGGATCACTTCCTGGTTTTCCCGGGACTGAAAGAAGTCTGTACTTCGAAAAACTGTGGAGTAACCAGAGGGTTCATGTCGTTCCACGTAGATGGTGTTTGGCTTGTCATAGGGGTCGATTCCCCTGAGGGGAAAAAAGGTGTTATCATTTTCATATTTAATCATTGAAGGCATGGAGGTTTTGCCATGCAATCAACTAGAATCTAGGGCGACCATTTGTTGCAAGCAACAAATGATACTCTCTGTGCCTCTAATATATCCCTTTGTTCCTTGGCTCGGCATAGAGGGAGAGGACTTGGCATCTGCAAAGTGTTCTGTGTCGCTACCATTGTTTCCAAAGCATCCTGGGTTTAGTTAGCTCAAGGCAAGCTCTCACCCTGCTCATGAAAAACAAAAAGAAGGAATAGCATAAGGTGGAGTATTTCAGAATAAACAAACTATGGATTGCTTGAGGTTGTCAGCAAGTTTCTAGCCTCAAGTTAAGAACCTCTGAGGAATGAAGGAGAGTTTTCCCAAGATGCTACATCCTCAGAAGATGCAGCATTAGAGGAAACCACATTAGCAATCTCTGAACCTGCTCTGTCCCATGGTCCCTGTCCTTTCTGGCTCCCCACTGACGTCACTGATTCACACCATCTGGAGTCAACCTACCAGTGCATTTCAACTCCAGCAAGGTGCCTTTGCAAGCCTTCTCTCATACACACTGATATCCTTGATGTCCTTCAAAGGGGAGGCCTCTGTGCTTCTGCAAACACAACACCCTGTGTAGAAGTACCCTCAGCATACACTCTAATCCCCCCACTAAATCCTACTCTCCTCCAAGATCAAGTTCAAAGCTCCTTCTTCCCGGAATCTTTCTCCTACTGCTCCCTTCTCTTCCCCCAACACGAGCAACACATTCAATTTCAAGCTTCTTATGTCCGTTTTAACTCTAACAAAGGTGTAAAACCACTCAGGTTGGGTGAATTTTGGAATGGATCTCATTACTTCATACAGAGCTTCAAACACAATGGAGTACATGTGTTGTCCAAGCTTCCCAGAGGAAACACAGATGCCCTCAAAGGTCCTTTCTCAGATTGCCTTTCAGCCTACTAGGCTCCCAGCTGAACTCACACTTGCTGCACTGGGTCCATTGTCCATAATGACAAATTCTACTGCAGAATGATAAGGTCAGACTATACTGGAAAGCAGCTCTGAACAAGTATCCCCGAAAAGAGGCCCCACGTGGCAGCTGGGAAGGGAATTGACCTGCCCACGTTTCCTGACATTCACAAAGACACCAACACCAGGCGGACCACTTAGCAAATGAGAAAAAGGGTTGAAAAGTAAGGAAGAGAGCTTCACGAAGAGCTTTCAGGGTGATGACTTGAGGAGAGGCAAAGGTAACAGTCTTTATCTGGCTCCATATGTGCAATGGTGCTCAGAATAATGGAGGCAATCATTTCGAGTTTCTTCACAGATGGGCTGTTGAGAATATTAACCACATTAAAAAAAAAAAAAAAGCAGGGGGAGAAAGATAAGAAATAGAAAAAGAGCCTCCTTCTACATTGGGGGGAAGACTTGACTTTTACCCTACAATCTGGACTCTGAGCAGAGCAGTGGAGAAACCAGCAGCCTGGGTCCTAACGTGGGAGAAATCTATTCTTCATTATCAGATGCTCGGTGTGGGTGGGTGGTGGCATGTTCTCTCCTCTTCCACAATTAGAAGTACTGATTAAAGTACTTCCTCTAGCCTAGAGGATATGCAAATTCAAACGAGGCTGCTGGGGTTTTTAAAAGGCAGAGAGGAAGGAAACTTTCTTGAGGTATTTTGAGATGAGCTCTTCTGTATTATTCCCTGCCTAGCTTAGCTGAGAGAAGGCCCACATGTTGAAATAGAAAGAACTGGGACACTTGTCCCATATCTAGACCTCCCATTTCTGGAAGTTGCTCCACCTACATACAAGTTCCTGTTCTTTGCCATTACCTTGTCTTCCAATTTCTTAGGCTCATTCATAGTTGCTTCCTGTTCTCCTGGCCTCCAATTCAGAAATTCCAATTCCAGCGCCATCTGTGAGCACTATCCTAAGTCTCACCTCCAGTCCCTCAGGGATGCCGCGCCCGTGCGCATCACATTCAAAGTCAAGCTTCTTGTGTCCGTTTTAACTCTGACAAAGGTGTAAAACCACTCGGGTTGGGTGAATTTTGGAATGGATCTCATTACTTCATACAGAGCTTCAAACACAATGTTGGGAGAAGAGAAGGGCATCCTGGAGTCCCTCCCTTATGGGAGTCTTGCTGTCCTATGCTGCCCATCTGCAGCTCTAGACAACATAACCATTGGCATTTCTCACTCCTACTGCTCCCAGGCTGCCAAGCATGGTTGAATAAATGTAATAATCCTGAGAGGTCAGAATACAATCACTTATTATGGGGAATCCAAGGAAGATGTCCCTCAAATATAACCTGAAATCCCAATGCCAGACATTTTGTCCTTCTAAGATACCTACATGTTTGCAGAAGGTAAAATACAACAGATTCCTAAACTTAAATTTATTTAGTGGTCCTGTTAATTAATTAGTTCCATTAGTTCCATAAAACAATAACAGATCAATTGTTCTCTTAAAATTAAAAGCAAATGAAAGTTACAATGATATTCCTTAGGTAAAGACTGCTCTTGGATGATACTTCAATTATCATTTCATTAAGATCCCCAACCTCTGCCCAGGAAAATGACAAAGGGATCCCTCTATGAAGGAAGTGCACAGGAGTCAAAAGGTGGCTCCTCCCTGTACCAGCTTCATCTTCACCATTCTCAAGTACTAAGGAAGTAATATCAAGACACTCAGCTTTAAACCCAGGGTTAAATGAAGAATAGACGGTATCTACATCATGTTGGGCCATTTAATGAGAACTAAAACTACACATAAATGTTAAAAGACAAATGACAAACTGCCAAATATAAGTGTGCACACACACAACCTGTCCCATATCACAACCAAAGGGCTAATCTCAAAGATATAAAAAGCTTTTGGAAATCAATAATGAAAAGACTAACAATCAGATAGAAATAAGAGCAAAGGGCATGAAAGGCATGTCACACACACACACACACACACACACACACACACACAAATGATCCTTAAGGCCAAGTAAAAGATGTTCAAATTCATTCATAATGAGAAATGCAAATTAAAGCTACAATGAGAAAACTAATTCTTACCTAAAGCATTAGCTGTGAAGAAAGACACTGTTCTAAGTTGCTAAGCATAAATTTGATACTTTCCATTAAAAAACCGGCAATGTCTCCCAAAGTCACAATTTGGGGGGAATTTATCAGTGCATAAAACTAACAAAAATCCTTGCCCTTGGGCGGCTTTTGTTCTATGAAAGATAATTAATATGCATAATAATTGTATGTCAGAACACTAAAGAGTGCTATATAAAAATGAATATAATATAGTAGGTTGGAAATAGGGTAATAGCTGCAATTTCAAATAGGATCCCCAGAAATGCAAAACTACTCTGATATATCACCTCACACACATCGGAATGGCTATTATGAAAAAGACAAAGGATAGAAAAGTGTTGAGGATAGTGTGGAGAAAAGGACACCTGGTACTCTGTCTATGGGACACCCTCTGGTGCCGTCATTGTAGAAACTGTAAGAAGGATCCTAAGAAATTAAAAAATAGAACTACAATATGAGTCAGCACTCTCTCTTCTGAGTATGTACCCCAAAGGAAATAAAAGCACCACCTCATAAAGCTATCTGGAGCCCCATGTTTATTGCAGTATTATTCATAACAGCTAAGACATGAAAACAACCCATGTGGTCTGACAGAAAGAGAAGGAAGAAACTGACATACAGACCCAATGGAATAGTATTCAACCTTTGTAAAGGAGGAGACGTGTATTATGTGGATAGACCCAGAAGACATTACGCCAAGTGGAAATAACCAGACAGAAAAATATTGCATGATCTCACTTACAGGTAAAATGAAGAGAAGTCAAATATAGAGTGAGACAGAATAAAATGGGGGTGGAGAGAACCTAGGTCAAAGGATACAAAGTGCCAGGTGTGCAGAATGAACAAATTCAGAGACCTAATGTACAGCACGAGGGCTATACTTGAAAATACTCTATTACATTTGGGATTTTCACTAATAGATTTTAGCAGCTCTTGTCTCTCTCTCTCTCTCTCTCTCTCTCTCTCTCTCTCTCTCTCTCACACACACACACACACACACACCAGGATAACTATGTTAATTCGCTTCACTATAGTAACCATCTCACTATGCCTGTCTCATAGCATCCTATTGCATACTTTAAATACACACAGTAAAATTTATTTTAAGTAAACAAATCAACACATAAGATCCTGTGGGGAGGCCTCATTTTAAAAGGAGTTGTTTGAGCAGGTACCTAATGAAGCAGGGAATAAGCAGCAAGTACATCCTACAGAGGAGCACTGCAGGCAGAGAAAAACAGCAACGCAACTATAGGCAGAGAAAACACATCCTGCGGTAGAAATGCACAGGAGAAATGACAGTTCAGTGCACCAAAAGGGTTCACAGAGGAGCAACAAGTTGGTGTGATCTGTTCTGAGCAGGACAGATCTGCTGTGGACTGAGAACTGACTGCAGGACTGACTGGGCGACAGTGGTGGCAGAGCACAGGAGCAGCTGCGCAGTCAACCTGGGACATGTGCTGAGGGTGGGGCCCACAGCACTCGTGACAGGTAGAGCCAGTGAGGACTCCACACTCCTTGCCCTGACCAGCCGGAAATTGACACAGGGAGGGAGGCGACGAGCTGGCTCAGGGTGGTAAAGCCAAGGGTCAGTCTGGGAGGCCTTAAGTTTTCTAGTCACCCATGTGAACAGGGCGGAAGAGCAGTTCAGATACACCCCCCAACCCCACAATCCTGCCCCTGGAAAGCTGTCTCACACGTGCACTGCACACACACAAACTCATGTTCAAGATCATACACTGAATCACTGCCATGGCACAAGGGCAGAGGCAAGCATGACCAGAAATGACTGTCCTTCCTGAAGCACAGCCTATTTTAAGCCAAGTGGAAATAACCAGACAGAAACATATTGCATGATCAGCCTCAATAACCTCCAAAGCACCCCACTGTACCCAGAATTCAGTCAAATCCCTTTCTCAAGCACTGCAGATTCGGATACCAATTCCCCTTTCCAAACTTCCCCAATACCCAGTCCAAATAGAAGAGCCAGTGTTCTGCGCCCGAGTACCATGGCCTCACCTCTGCCCATGCCACCCTGCTCCTGTCTGAAATTCCTTCCTCCACTCCTGCCATGCTATCCCCTACCTGTTGTGCATCCTGGATGGAAGGCAACTACCTTTATGAAGCCATCCATGGGCCTCCCTTCTGGAAGGCACGATCCCTCTATGGCTTCTCTTTCTACCTGGTACTTCTGTGCTTCTTTCATAATTCAAGTTATATACCTGAAATATGTCTTTCTTACCTCCTAAACTATATTCTCCTTAATAACCATATCCATACATTATTTAACTTCCTATACCCTAAAGTATCTAGGTTTTATATTTAGCAGAGTTTTTTTTAAAAAATGTTATAAGTGAACAAATGCCTGAATTTTATAGAGAGGAAAATCCCCACTCCTGAGATGATGCTCTAAAAATGAAAGTCTTTCAGAGTTCTACGACATGACACGCAAGAGCCTCAAGCTTCCCCTGAGTCCCCGGAGGGGATGAAAATTGCAAGAGCTCTCCCCTTCCTCTCACGAGCGACTTTCCTTCCTCATCCCCACTGGTGAACTCATTACACTTGCAAGCTAATTCTTGGGCCTAGAAATTTTATTCCTTGAGCTAAATGCCTCACACTACAGGTGACGATCAAAGGTCTGTCTATCACGAGGTAGCTGGAAGTGCAGAAAGGATGTATAGAAGTCAGGACTTCTGAGAGGACACAACTTACCAAGAGAAGGACTTCACATGTTCCTGAATCATGATCCAGGTCTGGCCAAAATCATCAGACTTCCATAGCTGCAAAGACCAAAATGACAAGAGGCCATGAGATGAGAACTGCATACAATCTGAACAGAACCACTGGGCAAAGCCCACTAAAACCCCACCTCAACAGAACACACTCTGCAAGGTCACTCCAAAGCCAACAGACAGAGAGGGAAGGACAGATGTGCACCTTTGCACTCTTCATTGGTAGGCACTGGAAGAAAAAAAATGATTGTGACTTGCCTTCCATTTATGGATTACCAGAAACTTATTCTACTCAAGACCAGACCACAGTTAATGGTACTTCTTGACCAGGAAATAGTGTCCTTAAACAGTCTGTAATGCCAAACTGGGGATGTGGCTCAGACGTAGAGCACTTGTCTAGCATGTGCAAACATTTCCCCCAACACTGTGACGGGGAAAAAGAAAGAAAGAAAGAAACTTGTAATGGGTAGCAGCATTATTTACAATATCCAAAATATAGAAGCAATGCCAAGAGTTCATCAAGGGACAAACAGAGGAGCAAACTGTGGTATATCCATACCATGGGCTATCACTCAACCTTGAAAAGGAATATAGATAAACCTTGAGGACAATATGCTTAGTGAGATAAGCCAGTCACAAAAAGACAAACTGGGTATGATTTCACTTACGTGAGGTACCTAGAATTGTCAAAAACAGACAGAAAGTAGAATGGTGGTTGCCAGGGGCTCAGGAGAGAGAGGGCTAGGAAATCAATGTTTAATGGAGACAGAGTTCCAGCTCACAAGATAAAAAGAATTCTGTACCTGGATGGTGGCAACACTGTCCAACAATACGAATATACTTAATATCAATTAACAGAAAAAATGGTTAAGATAGTAAAATATATGTTACATCTATTTTACCTCAATTTAAGGGGAAAAAAAAGAAAGAAAAAAGAAAACCTCTGGGCTAGGGATGTAGCTAGGGCTAGGGATGTAGAATCTTGCCTGGTATGCACAAGGCCCTAGCACCAGAAATAAAAACCCTAAATGAGCCTTGGTCATCAAAATCAAAGCTGACAGCAGACGACACCAGCCAAGTACAGAAAACCAAAAGGAATCCACTGAACACACAGACAAGTCCTGTGTCTTTGCCAAAGTCCCTTGACTTCTACTAATGTGACCCAAGGGTTCCTCTGGCCCCAGCAAATGTGTATTAGGAACCATGAGACCAAAAATAACAATAATCCACCTCCCCTGGTAAACTGACCCAGCCCACATAAGCTTGGGTTACTCCTGAAGGCAAGCAAAGGCAAACAGATCTGTGTTTTGGTTAAACAGCCCACAAAGCAAAAGAAATGTTCCAAGTTTCTTCTGAACAAAAATATTCGAGGCTCCTCATCAGTCCACTCATACAAGCTCTACAGGGTTCAGAGTTTCATGCCTGACCAACAGTCTTGACTTGGCAAGCTTCGCCTTGAGGTATAACTCTACTCAGCCTCTCTTCTTACCTGCTAGCTTTCCTTCAAAAACCTAAATGCCAAGAGGAAAATATACACATTTATGTCCTACCCATGTGCCTGCCCACAACACAGAGGAAGAATATCAAAGTTAAAGGTGACTTCAAACAGGTGGCAGGCAAAAGCAGTGTGTTTAAGGTGGGGCTCGGGGTGGGGCTTAGGGCAGGAGCACTGGCCTAGCATGTGCCAGGCCCTGGGTCTGATCCCCAGCATTGGAAAAACTGAACAAACAAATGGGGTAGAGGATGGAAGAAATGTGACAAGAGATCCCAGAGGGCTTAGACTCCAGACCTCTCCAGGTAGCCCTCTCTGATTAAATTCCAGGGCCTCGATTTACCCCGAGGGCTAACAAAGGGGCATGGTGTTTAAGTCCTAGGGCCTGCCAAGGGCTGGGTGCCAAGTGCTGGGTGCCAAGTGCTGGAGGAGAGTGCCCGGGGGTATCCCTTTCCTGAGCTGTGGGAAGTGAAACAGTAGCTCCAAAGGCTAAGCCTCAGAGAGGAGGAGGGAGGGGCAGGAGGCGAGGTCACTCAAAGGACACACCTTCCACCCAGGCCCAGGAGAAAATCCCAGGAACCCCAGACTACTGAGCTCCTTCCGGAAGCTGTCTTACCTGCTTATTGGGATGAGACCTGTCGAAGCCCAGGAGGAGGTTGGAGGCCTTACTGTGGAGGAGGAGATCAGCTGCCCGGAATGGGATAGAAAAGCCATGGATAGTGTTGCAGAAGTCAAATGTGACCCAGAGGTACTGGGCATAAGCATCTGCAAAGATGTACTGCAAGAGAAAACAGGTACTCAGAGCAGCACCCAGCCAGAGCCGCCCAGCGCCTCCCCAACCCTTGTGCTGACACATGCAGGTCACGGGGCACTGGCTTTCACAGTGCCTTCTCCCCATCTCCCAGCCTCTCCTGGCAATGAAAGAATGCTGTCCACACCAGGGCAGACTCAGTGGAGAAGGGTGGTGGTGGGCCGGGGGAAGCCACAGGGAGCTTATTTAACCAGGTAATGAAGCTGAGCAAGCCTTTCCTGGCAGGTCACTCAGTCACAATCAGAGGGTAACTATCTGTTGGCTGAACACAAATGAGACTGCTGTCTCTCCCTGCATGCTCTGAGCACCTATGGGATATGTCTTTCCAAGAAAATCACTAAGATCACATCCTTCTAAGAAGAGAAGCTGCCCCTTCTTGTTACTATACCAGGTGACCGGGCAGCTCTGAGGATCAGGGCAGGAAGTGGCTCTGATGAGCAGGACCTTGCCTTATTTTGCTTCTGTGACTTTGAACAAGTTTGGGAGGAGAGCAGATGCAGCCTCAGAGCTCTCTGCAGGGGGCAGGATGAGGGAGAGTCAATTAACAGGTGTACTGGGGACCCACCATGGTCTAGATGATGGGGTCCACATGAAAAGCCCGGATCCTTTCCTTCCTCACTGGCAATGAAATAGATACAGGCCAGCTCACATAATTCATAATTCAAGATTAAGAGAGAAACCAAAGGCAGGGTCCTAGAAGAACCTATGCACGTTGGAAATGACTCCATAGAAGAGGTGACAAGGCAAGACTTCCACAGGTAAGGAACTTCCACGTCTAACGCAGTTTGCATTTGGGCACAAAGGAGGGGAAAAAAATCATCACATGGGTTTGATGACAGCCTTGAGGACCTGAGGAAATAACTGGAAATAAGCCTGAAGGGCACATGAAAGATGTGGGGGCCAGCCCCCCAAGAGGAGGTTAGTCCAGGAGACAGGTTATGAACCAGAAACCAGAGCCACAGGGCCCAGCTCCACCCAAAACCTGTCATTCTAGAAGTCAACCAATCTGAAGGACTCCACCGAGGACACACAGTCTCTGAGAACACCCGATCCAGGTCAAGGTCCGCCTCTGCATGCCTTCAGCTGGGCTGCACTAACCACTTGGCACTCCTTCCCATGTGGCTTTCACATGCTCTCATTCCTTCCTCATTCCCACACTCTCCCCAAATCCTGACCAGATGCCTCCCAAGAGCTCACTGTGTGTCCTCCTCTGGTTTCCTCCCTAGCATCTAATGTAAATCCCCACATTCTACAGAAGCCTAATTAAATCTAACGGAAAGGTAGTAAATGTTTTCAAAGCAAAAAAACTACTCTAAGCAAATGCAATGTAATAAAAACAATTATGATCCTAGGAGGATCATCATAATTTTCGCCATGAAAAGCATTCCCTAGAAATAGCCTATCTTCCAGTTCCCAAACCATCTGGGTTCCCGGGGAAGGGAGTGATCTCGGTTTGAAAAGAGTTCTCCAGAAATCTATGTCGTGGTTTCCAGCAGTATCACATTTGTGAATCTTGAGGAAAAAAAAAAGAAAAACATCATGTTCCCAGCCACAGAACTTATTGCTGCTTATGATAATAGCTGAAATTTCTCGAGAGCATTTTGTATGTGCCAAGTAATGAGCTAAAGGTTTTGCATGTTTCATCTCATTTACTCCCCTTAGCACCCATAGCTCAGGGCCTGGGGTAGTGCAGTTACATCCCTTTTAATAACGAGGACTCAGAAGCTTCGCGTGACAGTGGCTAGCTGCCCAAGATGACACAGGGGTGGGCAGCCCTTACACCCACACCTGACCAGTGCAGAGCCCATCTCAACAGTTCATCAATCCTTCTGTCTTCTTCCAACCAAAAGGTGTCGTCTCCTGAATTCAATGGTCAGTCTCCCACTTTACTATCTGACGCATTTGCCTGCCTCCTCTCCTAACCCATTCCTCCTGTTTTTACCGGAAATTCTCTTCCCTCACCTTCCACCACCCTCTTCCAACTCAACTCTCTCTGCCCCACCCCTGACCATCTCAGACCTGGTTCTCCTTTGCAGGTCCCTTCACCACCCGCCCTCTGCACTCTTGCCACCTCGTGACTCTTCCATCCTTTGCTAACCTGGCTCATCCTTCCACAAGGCTTTGACTGCTGCCTGGAAAACACACATCATGTGACTGCTGTGGTTTGCTTGCAGTGGGACCCCCAAGGATCCATGAATTGGAAGTGTACTGATGTTAAGAGGCAGTGCGGCCTTCGAGACACAGAACCTCATGAAGGGTACTTGGGTGCTGCCCATGGGGGTACTGAGGTAGTTTTCACCTCACAGTCTGGTTTCCTGTCATACTACATGCTCTATATCCCTCTCACACTTGCTCCTACAATAAGGCCATCTATCATGATGTGAAGTAGTCAAGAGGCCAAACTGATGGGGCTCCTCTTAGATTTTCAGTTCTAAAACTAAGAGCTAAGTAAAACTTCATTTCTTTATAAAGTACCCAGCCTCAAGCATTTTGTTTTAGCAAAGAAAACCAGATTAATAAAATGACTCACACATACAGTCTGACTTCTCACTGAGGTTCTACTTTCATTACCTTCTTGATCTTAGCTTCTACTCTTGGATGGACCAAGATATTTCACTGTGTCCAGAACTGAATTCTTCAAGACCTTCCCAACAAAACCTAATTCTCACTCCCTATGCTCCAAGATCCTTCTGTGCTACATCCCAACCCCAGGCATTAAGTTTTTACTCTATTCCCTCCCTTCAGTCCTCATTTTCAAACAGCCATTGGAAGTCCATTATTTTCCTCTAAAGTCTTTTTCAAAATGTGTGCATGCCTTCCTTTTTATACCTAGTTCTACTAGCATGGCCTGTGGCCCTATTTAAGACTGTGAGCAAACTGGAGGCAGACACCGGGTTCTATTCATCCTGTGTCTCCCAGGACTAGCAGGGTGTGAAACACTTGGAGGAAGGTATGAGTTTGGTTGAGTGACTAAGTAACCTCGTGGCCACAATGGTTCTCCTTCTAGACTCTTGAATCTTTGGCTTCCAACCCCACATGCATACTGCTGGCAGGTGTATGTCCCTCAGATACTACTCAGTTGCTCCCCTACTCAGACTCTTCCATGGCTCCCCACTGTTCTCAGGGCAAAGAAAAATCCCCTCCATCTTTAGATGACATTACAAAGCAGTTCAATGCAAACACTCAACTCCTGAGAGGCAAATCTCCTGAGTATCCTGCACAGAAACCACATGCAGGCACCCTGAAGCCTCTGCACACACCTTCCTCCTGCCAGAAGGCTCCCACCTGCTCTGTTATACCTAAAGATATCGTATGCCTATCCTTGAAGTTCCATTCCTAATCCTATGTATGCCAAGAAGACTTACTCCTCTGACCCAACCTCACAGAACCCCCTACCTCCATTCAACAGCAAAGTCCATTCACCACGCCCACTGGTGCACCCTGTAACTATGTACTGTCACATATGCACATGGTAGGAAAGCTCAAAATGCCCTACCCTGCTCTCACATCTCCTACTGCCTGGCTGTCAAGCTCCTTGGTGGCCAACCCCTTAGAGGTACCCTGAGTGCTGCTTTCAGAACTATATAATCTCAGGAGCATCTTCTCCTACTCTGACTCCTCTGGCTCTGTTTGCAATTGCATAAAATTCCAAAGGAGCGCCACCCTTTGGCTACACCTACATTTCCTCTGAAAGATACAAATACTTTTGGAAAAATAATAAATTAGATGCAAAGTGTATCTACATGATATCAGCACAAGTGACTTTCTCCAGCTTTGAGTGAAGAAAGCTGGAGAGTCCAATGAGAGGGGGAAGGGCAGAGAAGAGACTAGGAAGAAAGCGAAACAGTATTGGTTAGACTTGCCCAGGACCAACCTCTGCCTGGAGAAAAGCATGATCACATCTCGCCTGTGTGGAGACTGAGGCTCTGAAGCCCACTGCATTCAGTGGTGCTTCAAAGGGCCCTAGATACAGCTAGATATTGCCTGGCAGATCAGTGGAGCCTGGGAGGCTGGTGGAACTGCCAGGTGGCTGGAGCTGCACACTGGTTCAGGGAACAGCACACAGGGGACCAACAGAGGGAAATAGGATGGCAGGCTAGAGCAAAAATAGACCACAACACTCATATGTCCCCACCACCATTCCATCTCCATTACCAGGCGGAGCCACAGACCACAGCCTGTGGCCTCCTCACCCCTTCTGTCCCCTCCACAGGCACACATCCCCTCAGACTTCCAGGAGGCCCTCTCTTAATATCTAAACCTCCCAGAGCAGCTCTGACAGCTTCAAGCACTGACAACCCAAGGAACGTTTTTACACAGGTGATTTGCCTGAGCCTAGCACCCTGCTGTCATCGGGGAGGCACCCTGTCTGTGTGATTTTTCTCAGGAAATGGTAGGTCTGGTGGGGTGATTTGCCTTCCAGGGGACAAAGGTAAAAGTAACAAAAGCAATCAGCACAATAAGAGTCATCACTTCCTTTCTGAGATGTCTGGGGAGGGTAACAGCCTTCTCTGGGGAATTAGAAACTACAGGGAGGGCTGCCTCCCTCCTCCACAGGCTCCAGGCCTCAGGTCCAACCAACCACCATTAAATTCTCCAAGAAAGTAGTTTCCAGCTCCCCCAGAAGAAATCTAAGATGCTTCACCCTGCATGGCTGACAGAACATGGCCTACAAACATGCCCCGCCCCCCATCTCACCATGTTCCACCTGAACCTCTTTTATTGCAATCATCCCCAGGTTTCTCCCCCTCCTGTTCCAACTCTAGGGCCCTGCTCTACCCCTTCTGCAGACCTGATGCTCCCAAAGGCCCTGATCCTCCGCCTCTGCCTGCACTAAAGCTCCTCGTGCAGGCCCAAAACATCATCTTTCCGGTTTCCCAACTCCTCTGACTTGTGGTCTTAGCAGCCGCTCACCACAACCTACAAGAGGCAGGAAGGAAGACAGCCCTGCCTGTAGACATCTGTGCCCTGTGGGAGGGGCACCCGGCGAAGCTGAAAAGGGCATCCAAAGGGACAACAGGGCGATTTCAAGGCCATGACTCCAGCCAGAGGTAGCTCTGAGATGATGTGGAAACATAATGGTAATAACAATAATCACATAAGCACAGCCTGATAAAGTGAGCAATCCAAGTATCATCTGCTTTTTGAGAGGCAGAGGGAACACAGCTCCATCCAGGGAGAGGCAGCACAGCCAGCAACCTGGCCCTAGATAAGCTCCTCACCTCTCATGAGCCCAGGTGGGTGGCTCCCCCACCTCCGGGACAAGGCTTCCCTGGCCACAGGCCATGGGGGGAGGCGAAGAAGGCCAGTCATCTGGTTGACATAGCCAGGTCCCCCCAATACCTTGTCCTTGCTTTTCATCTCAGGGGAAAACTGCTCCGTCACCCTAGAGTTGGATAAGAGGAGGAAGTCTGCACCTAACAGTGCTTCCCTCTGAGATCATCAGGCAGGGCTGATATTTAACCATTATCACCAGTAATGACGATTCTAGCTTTTTTTTTTTTTTTTAAATGTTCTGTAACAAGCTGGTAAACAGTCACTGCCAGGAAACCCCAAACTGGCTCTACCTAAAGCCCCAAAGGTGGGGGCCCTGCCCCCAGGACTTCCACAGAGACCAGCAATTAAAAGGTTAATGCCTGGCCTAGTGGGGAGCCTCCAGGACCCAGCTCCCTCTGGCCAGGTCAGGGGCCCAGCCACACCAGTTGCCACACCAGGGTAGGGAATCAGGAGAACACACACAGTTGCTAAATATTCTGAATGCAGCCCTGCTAGGAGACCAAGGGCAACCTGAGAAGCAGGCACAGGGGCCAAGGAATGAGGACCCTGTAGATCTTGCTTGCTCATTCCTTTCTGGATGAGCAGAAAACAGCAGCTTCCCCTCCCACAGAATGCTTTTCCTCCTAAGGAGTTTCTCTACAAAGGGTCTTTCCCCAGGAGAAGCCACTGGCCCTGGGGAGAGCAGGAAAGAGAGCAAACAAATGCAACTCTCCTGAGCTAAGAGTCACCCAACCAGCAGGAATGCCAGGCAGGCTGCTGGGCTTCCCCTCCACCTGCCTGGGGCCGGGGGTCAAGCTTCCTCCAAATCCAATCGCCTGCAGGTTCTGACCCAAGACACACAGCCCCAGGCATTCCAGCTGGGAAAACAAAGGGCGGGCACAGCAGGGCTGCCCAGTGCTTTTCTTCTCTATATTCTTGTAGGTTGGGGTGGGGGAAGTACACACACACATACAGGCACCCAGGCACGTGCAAGCCCATGCCCCATGCGCGTGCACAGGCTCCCGCTCTCACACACACACACACACACACACACACACCCCTGCATGCATACTAATGGTGCCAACAAAAGCAAAAGTTCAGCAGCTGCTCTCGGAAGCCTGGGAGTAGATGGCAAATGTACCTGGGAAACATTTTTGCCACGGGGTGGGGGTGGGGGGGGATCAAGCAGTTCATTGGTTGGCAGATTTTCTGTGGTTTAAGTTGGCCTTGTTTGTCTGGAAATCCTGCCTGACCAGTACTTGGCCTGCCTGATTATACACAGACCCACCTCGGAACTGTACTCTGTCACAAATTCCCAGGTTAGCAGAAACACAGTGACTAGCTACAAGTCATGCTGCAAGGATCACAAAGGGCTCCGCTGCCCAGCCCCCCCTCAGAGCAGCAATCTTTCCAAAACACAGTCCCTGAAATCAGGGGCCTGGGGTGGACGGCTTCCTTACCCGCTTGTTGTCTGCAGGACTGTGGTAGAACTGGGCGATCACAGCTTCACTGCTATTTCCCACACCAAAGTTGAGTTTCTCTGAAATCTTGTTGAATGATTTTCCATAGTCATAAGACACGTACACCTGGAAGACAGAGAAGGGGAAGAAGAAGAAAAGAGTTGGTGAGAAATCAGGCAGAGATCTCTCACCTGCCTCCACCTTCCAGCATCCACCCTGGACCCTGAACACCGCTCCCACTGGGTCCTTGACATCATGAAAGCACTGATGCTCCCAGATAACCCACAAAGCAAGGAAAGCAAGGCACTTCTATGTCTGGCCCCAGGCTTGTCAGGGACAGGCTAGGGAGTACTACAGCCACCCCTGCTTGGAGTACTCTGCCTGTGTGTGTGTGTGTGTGTGGTGCTGGGGATCGAACCCAGGGCCTTATGCATGTGAGGCAAGGACTCTACCATCCTGAGCTATATTCCTAGCCACACTCTCCCTCTTTTCTAAGGCAAAGTCAAGTCCTTGCAGCAGGAGACAAATACTGAAATATTGGTAACATCCTCATCAAGGGTTAAGTGTCTAACAGATGTCATCCAGAAACAGAGAGAAATGTGCCTGTCTGAGGAGGTAAGGGCTGAAAATATGTTTTGCCATCTGTTGAAATGTCCCCAAAAGGTAATCCAATCCTTCATCCCTCTTCAGAGAAGTTTGCTGCTTAGAGAATTTCATACTCAAAGAAAGAAAACCTTCATGGGTCTGCACCCTACAGCCCAAGAGATGAAAAAGTGCAAATGATCAAATTTACACAGGTGAAGATATCAGTAGGCTGGGGGCGTAGCTCAGTGGTAGAGTGCTTGCCTAGTATGCACGAGGCCCTGGACTCAATCCAAAGAAAAGGGAGGGAGGGAGGGAGGGAAGGAAGGAAGGAAGGAAGGAAGGAAGGAAGGAAGGAAGGAAGGAAGGAAGGAAGGAAGGAAGGAATCTATTAGGAGCAGAAGAATCCCACTCCTGCGATTGTGATTCCATCGCATTGCATGGGATATGAGAACAGCAACAAGATCCAGGTCTGTGCCAACTGCTTCCTGGTTTCTGATGATGCAGTAACCACGGTGATAAAAGGTAAGAGCTGTCATTCATCAAGTGCTCACTATATGCAGAGATGGTTCTAACCTCTTTAAATGAATGAGCTTAGGTAACTCTCACAACAACCCCACGTGGCAAACACAATTGTTAAAATCCTTTTACAGAGAAGATAACAGGGGCTTATGAGATTAGTTACTTGCCACTGTACTAACACAGCAAACAAGTAGCAGAGTAGAACCTAGAGGAGGCTGCCTGCCTTCCAAGCCAGGGATCTCAAAGCTACTATCAACTCAGACTACAGAGGTGGAATGGAAGTTGTCAGATAAGAGATAAGATCAAGAAAACACATCTGATAGATGACTATAACAATGAAGATAATAAGTTAGTTGGTTTTCAAATGATTTATGAGAAAGAGAATCAAGGGAAGCATTAAAGAAAAATGGAAGGTAAATTCCAAGAAAAACACCAACTACTGAACTAATCCCAGCAAGTTTACTGCCATACCTGCCCCTTAAATTCAACAGCAACGTGTCTGGAAGGTTTTACCAAAGCCAAGTGCTAGGCCAGGCACCAGACATACAAAGACAAATCAGACATGGCCACTAGAGAGGATGGACATGTAAACATGGAAATGTTTGCTAACAAGGCCCAGTGCAAACAATGAGGACAGGAGGGCTGTCCATCAGGGACTGAACGCACAAGGATGGGCCATTAACATTTCATAGACATCAAGGTTAAAAGAAGCAAAGACAGAGCCTCTGCCTTTATCTGGGTCACCATGAAAGGAACTAGTAGAAACACACAGCAGGTGTTTCCAACTATCAAGCGCGCAGGAAGGTGCTGCCACAAAAGCAGCTCTAGAAAACCAGCAGGTTGAGAGCTCACAGATAATCTGAGTGGCGAAAAAGACAAAGTGGAACTTTTTCTCACTTCCATTCCGCTGGCCAAGAATGGACACTGGGAGTCCAGGTAGGTTCTTAAGTTGCACAGAGCAAATGCATGGCTTCACAATCAGGGAGGCCCCCTTCACCTTCAATATCCTATGACTTGATGATCCACTAGGATGAATTTCTTGAGATGCACAAATGTGATCGTATTTATATCAGGGGAGCGTTTTTCAGGACACAATACTCCTTTGTGTGTATTATCTCTCTTCATCTTTGAAAATCCTATAAGTTAGTCTTCAGAGCACCAAGAACACATTAGGTAGTCAACAAAGACTTCTACAACAAATAGATATGATTATAAACCAAAGAATCACTGAATAAATGAACAAAAAAAAGAGAGTGAATGGAATGAATTAGTGAGTGACTGAGAGAACATCATGCTCCCTCAATATCTGAGGGGAAGTGGTTTCAGGACCCCCAGAGATACTCAACCTGTGGATGCTCAGCCTACTCACATCCTCCTTTACTCTAATCATCTCTAGATCACTTATAATACCTAAGACAACATATACGCTCTGCAGACTGGTTATACTGCATTGTTTTAAGGAATAAGACAAGAAAAAAACAAAAAAAGTCTGCACATGTTCAGTACAGATGCACTTGTTTCTCCAAACATTCCCAATTTGCAGCTGGCTGAATAATGGATGCAGAACCTGTGGATAAGGAGGGTTGACTATAATTATGTCCATTAAGAGAGAATAAAAACTAAGACTCGGAGAAGTGAATGACTACCACTAGTAAGTGACACAATTAAGTCGGTTTCTTCCAAATCCATTTGTCTTTCCACTCCACAAGTTACCATTTTAAAGAACGTTCTCCATACTTAATGTTTCTCTGTTAAAAAAGAAAAGCCACACACCGTATCCATAGGCCAAGCACGAGAAGGTGTGCTGGCCAGCAGGAAAAGCCTGTCTGAGATTCTCACACTTCCAGGAAAAAACATCCTCCCTACCAAAAAGCCCCTCTCCTCATTTCCCACCAGCAAATGACCCCCGTCTCTTAGGGCTGGGGGAGCAGCTCAGTGCAGAGTGCTGCCTACCATGCATTAAGCCCTGGGTTCAATCCCCAGCACCACAAAAGAAGTTAAAAATAAAAATCTCTTGGGTCTTATACTTAATAGAAGTAAAGAGTAAATATGTAAGTGTTCATCCTATGCCTGAACATTATGGAAGATTGTTCACTGACATTCCTGGCCCTCTATAGGTTGAACAATTCCAACATAATATTTTTTATCCTATTGGCCCTCTATAGGTTGAACAATTCCAACATAATATTTTTTATCCTATTGTGTCCGTCAGCTTTTTTGTCACTATGACCAAAAACCTGACAAAAACAATTTAAAGGAAGAGAAGTTTATTTTGGCTGACAGTTTCAGAGGTTTCAGACCTTAGTCAGCAGGCTCCATGGCCTTGGGCCCTAGGTGAGGCAGAAAGTCAAGGCAGAAGGGTGTGGTGGTAGGAGAAAGCTGCTCAGCTCTCCGCAGCCAGGAAGCAGAAAGCAAGAAGGGACCAGGAACAAAACAGAACCCAGGGCACACCTCCAGTGACCTGCTTCCTCCAACTGTGCCCCACCTGCCTACAGTTTCCACCTCCTCCCTGGGATCCCCTCAGCTGTGGATGGATTGATTAATCCACTGATGAGGTCACAGCCCTCATTATCAGATCACTTCTGACCTCTGGGCATGGCTGCACTGAGGACCAAGCCTTCAACACATGAGCTTCTGGGGTACATTCCGGACACGAACCATAATTCTCACAATTCTTATTTGTGTTTAATTGACAAAAGACCATAAGGCAAGTTACCCACTGGCACACACTGAACAGCATACTAAAGGCCTCTGACAGTGCTGACTGAACCTCAAGCCGGCTGATGGCTTCTTGGTCCTCATACAGCACCCCCAAGAGCAACCAGAATTTGCTGTCTTCTATTCCCGGCAATATGACGTTGCTCACACTGTCCACCGTGACCTCCAAGCAAACTGGGGCAGACGCCCTGCTCTCCCTGTCTTGTGCTGCAATCGCTGTTTTCATCCAGACAGGGCTCTGCACTAATTAGTCCTCTCTGACCTCAACACGACACTATTCCCTAAAGAACAAAATTCAGCACTGGAAGAGTTACTAAGCTGCCAGTTAGACCATTTTCTTTCCTATAAATATGGTCCTTCAAAGTGAACAGCTCAAAATTCTTTTCCCTGTATTTTAAAACTACAATAATAATGAGGAGGAAGAAGACAACTGTAATGTACCCAAAAAAAAAAAACCTCACATTTGGCACTGCTCAAGGCCTTTATAGCAGTGCTTCTCAAATTTTAATATGCTTACAAATCACCCAGCAGGACACTAATTCAGCAGGACCTAATTCAAGTCTGGAGTGGAACCTGAAATTCGACATTTAACTGCACTTTTGTTATGTGTGTGGTATTGGGGATCAAACCCAGGACGTTATGCATACTAGTCTTCCACTGAGCTACATCGCCAGTCCCCAAATTCTACATTTCTAACCAGTTCCCAGAAAACACCCATGTAGCCAACCCAGATACTGTATTTTGGGGAGCAAGGTTTTACAAGCACCATCTCAGTGATAAATGAAAACATTGCTATGGTTTAGATCTTAAATCCCCCTCAAAGGCCCATGAATGAAAGGCTTGGTCCCCAGGTAGGGGTACACTGGAAGGTGGTGGAACCTTTAAGAAGTGGAGCCTAATGGGATGTCTTCAGGCTCTTGAGAATGTGGCCCTGAAGGGAACTATAGGGGCTGGGTCCCCTCCTTGTTCCCTGTCCCCTGGCACATGATGTCATTGGTATGGCTCTGCCATAGGCTTCCCCACTATTGCCATCCAATACCCCCACCAGAGATCTAAAACCAATGGGTCCAAAAGTTATGGACTGGAACCTCCAAAACTGAACCAAAATAAATCTTTTCTCTTTATAAGTTGATAATATCAAGTATTTTATTATGGTAACAGAAGGTAAACAACCTGGCCTAAGGGCAGACTGCTAATGAATGGCAGAGCCAAGATTCCAACCCAGACGTTCTGATTTCAGAGTCTGTGCTAAGCCAGACACCAGCCTCCCGCAGGCTACACAGACTCCGCTGCTAATAAGGGTGGTGAAACCAATCATTCATGGCATCTTTCCTGGTCGATTCTGATCTTCTGGTAGACACTATCTCAGGATGTTCTTGGATGCTCTTTGGCCAATTATGTCACACCTGAGTACTTTGTAACACATATCATGAGAGAGAAGGAATCAAGATTAAAGAAGGGTCAAGATAAGCCACATCTGTTGTTTCACTTCATCACCTCATCACAGAAAAAAATCAGTCCCGTGGGCTCCGTTCTTGACAGAATCACCAGGCTACAAATTCAACAGGTGATGACTTCTCTTTTTTCCTGCTTAAGAGCAAACCCTCTGGGATTCCAGCATCCAGATCCACCCCACTTACATACTGAATATGCATGATGATGTTGGCCAAGTCCCCCCACTCACGCAGGTTCTTATCAGTGTAAGTTCTTTTTCCTCAGGCTTCTGACCCAGTCTTATGAACCATGCTTTCAAGTCTTCTTTAAAGACAACTTGGATCGCTACCACTCCCCCAACACCAACAACTCTGCCTCTGTGTCATAGTTTATTTTTGCATTAACTTTTCACATCAGAACATCTCAGTTTCATCTACCAATTCTTTAATGCAGTTTGTATATGATGCAGGAAATTTCTGCCATCCCTGTTTATTAACTCTGGGCATTAAGTCTCCTTTCCATTTAATTTGATCTCATATTTCATTCTAGAATAGTTAATCACTTCAAATGTTCAATGAGCCCTTAGTAAGACACACCCAAATATTTACACAGAGTAAGAGCCGGGCTGGATAGACTGGCAATGCTGAGGGAGACCAACCCTCCTAGTTCACCCAGGACTGAGGGGATCCCAGCATGTGCAGCTGTCAGTGCTGAGGCCCCGTCAGGTTGGTCATTGCAGTGAAACCACAGCCTCACACATGGCATACACAATTGGGTTTAATTCTCATCAGCCCCAAAGTCCCCCAATGATATGCTGAGTGACCTCATGCAAATCCCTTTATGCCTCTAAGCTCCCATCTGTGCAGGAAAAATATAAAACAATGTTGTTCTTTTCCCTACCTTGCAAAAAAATATTTTTTGGACAAAAAAAATAAAATGTATAAAAACCCTAAGGAAGATTTCTTAACACAGTAGAATCCAGAATTGGCTCCTGTGACCAAAAGGGACACCACGGAGCAATGATGGAGTTGACACACACAGGTAGTACCTACAGAGTACCCGGGAGCCAGCAGGCAGCCATTCACAGCCATCTGTGTCCAGAGCTGCTGCTCACAAACTCTGACCTCATTTATAAATGGGTCAGAGTCAGGGCCTCAAACAAGTCTAGGTCTGCTCCAAAGCTCTATACCCAGACTGGCCGCCAGCTACAGCGGTTTCCCACGCACCATGGCTCCAAACACAAAACTATGCATCATGATGGCCAGTCCTTCTCTGGCCCTCCCTGCCTGTGGTTGCCCTAATTCAACTCACTAGAAAATAGCTCCCGGGGCTCCCTCCAGTCACCTATCTCTGAACACATCCAACCCAAACAGCGGATATTCAAGAAGGTACCTCAAAAAGACCAAATCTGTACTCAAAAATTACAAAACTACGTAAAGCCTGGTGTGAGTGCTAGTAAATTCATCAGGTTTCCTCTGGCCAGGACAATGGGTGACGGAAGCTCTGTGGTGTTTGATGTGTCCACAAACTCACACTTCTTTACCATGGCAGACCCTGATCTGGGGCAGGGCTGTTCCTCCTGCCCACAAGAAGTCTGGAACACAGGCTACAGACTGGGGATGCATGGGCCAGTCCTGACCCTTTCACAGATTTTACTTGGCCCACATGGTGTTTGTAAAACTAGACATCAGCTGCCAACTGGTAAGACTCAGCAGTTTCACATAAAAATTCAGACCTTTGGGCTTCTCCTGAAAAGTCAGATCTGGCCATTTTGGACTCTGCCTCCTGTGTGGCACCCAGAGCACAGAGCCAATCAGCAACGCCCCTCAGAAGTACTTCTCTTCTTCCTAGTGAAGCCAGATTTAAAGTTAGGTAGTCAGGGTAGTTAGGTAAATGGGGTCTGATATTGAGTGAAATCTAAAATGGAGGCCATGAGAATTAATTCCCATTGAGCAACTCTTGAAATGTTAATGAAGTCCAGGAAACAGCCCCCAACAGATTTGAAGATAGCCCATCCCAAAGAAATGTTAATGAACAGCCCCAGCAGATTTGAAGATAGCCCATCCCAAAGAAATGTTAATGAACAGCAAACTTGAAGATGCTGCCTCTGGAGTCCTTCCTGCCCAGATTACTTCTTTGGCCCATCTGTATCCCACCCCTTGGGCCTTCCCACCTACATGCCATCACTGAAAACTATAAAAAGGGGAAACAACCTCACTTCCGCGGATTCCACCTCTTGGGTCCCCTTCTTCCTCCAGGAGAAGTCTTTTCTGCTGTTCTTTAATAAACTTCTGTTTTCCACTCTGACCTTGCCTCGGCGCAAGGAACAGTGGAACCCGGTCAACAGTGGTAACACTAGTACCTCTCCAACAGCAACCAAGTCCCAGTCACCACATCTGAACTAAGATATGAAGAAATGGCCTATTGGCCAAGTGGGCCACAGACTTCAAAAAAATGGGAGAGACCTTTTTCCTTTAGAGATGTAAAGAGTGTTGTAAATGCCAGGTGGCTTCCCTCCTGCCCTTTATCTGCCTGGCCTCCCGAAGGTCTTTTGAGTTTGATCTCCTGTCTTCAAAGCACCCAATCTATTACATGCCCTTAAGAATGTGAGAAAATCCATTTTCAACAGCTCCCCCATCAGTGATGGGTTAGAAGACATCAGCACATGGAAAAGACCAATTTGATTCCATTTGGCACAGCTCCAGGCAGGCAGCTCTGCTCAGGAACACTCTTCTGGCACTTTGTTGAGCAGACGGAGAGATTCAGACCGCCCATCACTTCAGGAAGGTAATCACACCTTCCCCACTGCCTGGGACACTGACCACACCTCTCCGTGTTCAGCAAACAAGGGATACATGTATTAACTCCAGATTCTCCTCCCTCTCACATAAGTCCAATTACCGAGTATGTGTTCTGGCACATTAATCCCAGGGGATCAGAAAGGGCATGTTGACAGTATTGAGAAGTGCCCAGAGTAACACAAATACTCACGTCACTGCTCTTGGGCCTCGCCAAGGCCAGGCTGTCCCGGGCTAAGGCCACGATCACGTTGCTTTTCTCTCCAGCCCAGTGCACCACCATCTGATTGTGGGAATCATTCAGACTGACCTGAAAGAGACCAATACAGGAATCAGGACCCCCATGAGAAACGGCCACACCCATGGAAAACCTAGACTTTTTCCTCCTTGGTCACTTAGAAAGGACAGAATTCTGAGATGAGATGTGAGTCACTGAGCCAGCAGGGTCTATTCTCCCTGCTACACATGCTCTTCCAGACTCAGCTTCCCTCAGAAGAAATACTAGTGCCCTGGTTACATTCCATGAAATTGTGAGTATCATTAGATTGCAGAAATCTTCTCAGGGTCTCATTGACCTAACCAATTTTTTTGCTTCACTTTTGTCCTTTGTCACATCAATCCCCTGTTACTCTGATCCTTAGTCCATATGGGTGGCACGTAAACCAAAATATTGAAATATCTCTCCCAGGGCTGGGATTGTGGCTCAGTGGGAGAGTGCTCGCCTAGCATGCATGAGGCCCTGGGTTCGAACCTCAGCACCACATAAATGTAAAATAAAGATATTGTGTCCACCTAAAAATAAAAAAAGAAATTAAAAAAAAAAAAGAAATATCTCTCTCACTCAAAAAAAAATGGACAAGAAGCTGGGACGGAGAAAGAATGGTTAATGGGCACAGGAGAGCAGCTGGAAGGAATAACTTCCAATGTTATACAGCACTGTGAGATAACGAAGGCTAACCACAATTAATTCTATATTTCAAAAGAGCTAATAGAGAAGATTTTGAATGTTCTCAACACAAAGAAATGATCAATGTTTGAGGTCATAGATCCACCAGTGATCAGAACCATTACCTGGATATGCCAATTACCTGATCATTACATTGTGTACATGTATTGAAATATTACAGTGTGTACCTGAGAAATATGTAACTGTTTCAATAAAAATTAAAATATACGTTTTAAAAATCCACAGGCCAGAAAGACCGCATGCTTTTCCAATTATGGAAATGTTTTCCCCTGGCCTGGGGTCACCATTATTCACTTTCGATTCATGATAAGAAACAAGAGGAAGTCATCATTGTGAGGTATCTTTAAATTTATTTTTAAAGTGTTGCAAGTAAGGAAATGTTTACCAGAACCCAACAGAAATGACCTTTGGATTATTGCTAACAGACGTCCCCAAGCTTTTGATTCTGTAAACCAATAAAATAAAAATAGGTAGAAAGGCCAACAGAGGACTAGGTGGCACCTTCTATTTTGCTAGGTAAGGATAATGACAAAAACACCCATGGTGTCAGAGCTGAGCTACCCTCTCAATCTGCTTCCTTTGCTTCCTGATGACACTGCAGACCCTTGCCCAGGCTGCCTCGCATCAAGTGTGGCCCCAGGACCACGTTCCAGGCAATGGTCTGTGAGAGGGGGTTCTCAGGGCCACTACAGGCCTGGCCCACACACAGTCCTGTTTTCTTTCCCCATCTGCAGGCTGCTTTCAAAGGACAAGAGTCCTGGAGGAGGGCGGAGCCACAGGACAGAGGAGCCTGGGTCTCTGGGGAGAAGGCCCTCCATGGAGGAGTGACACTCACCTTGAACTTTCATAACTAGAAGATATGTTTACACCACCAGGCTTTTGGGACCCATCTGTTAAAACTGAGGAAAGACAGCCTCAGAAAAAAGGCTACTTCTCTTTGGTCATGTTTACTTTACCTAACACTAACTGCCTTACTTTTCTTCCTCTTATTTCACCACCCACAGGCCATACTACCCTGAGCACACAGGATATTATCTTGTGTCACTGTTCACTGATGGACACCAGTTTGAGGGCTGGCATTTTGTTTCACAAAACCTGTGTGGGGAGCAAACTGATGAAGACACAAACAGAACTTCTGGCAGCTGGTGCAATATCTAGAAGCAGAACAAGGAATCAGGACACCTGAGATACGCCAGCTCCATCAGCCATCCTGGCTGCTTGGGGACTCATGGTGCCTTGCAGGGTCTAGCCTGGGTGGCACGCAGCACCACCCCCACCACCAACTCTTGGACTAATGAAAGTTCAAGTCTGGCTCAACCTGCTCTTGAAGCCACTTTATCAGGACTCTGCAGTGGAAAACCCTCCCCTCCCCACACCTCCTTTCTCCTTCCTTCCCCTCCTCCCCTACCACACCCTAACTTGCCACACCCACTCCATGGGGTGCTCTCAGATGTCACCAGGGAAAAGAGAAACACCTGGGCCACAAACTTGGCAGCCCCATAGACCAAGGAGCTAATCCCTAATGGCTCTGCTTTAGGTTTTAAGCACCTGCATTTAATTTGATCTAGGATCCAAATTCTTTTGAAAAACATTTTGAAATGAGACCTCTTTAAAGAAAAAGACCCTTGATATATTTTTAGTCCAAACTGTCACTTCCCATTCCCTATAGATAAGTCCAGGCAAGCATCAACAGAAGAGTGCAAATAAGAAACAGAAATAAATTATTTAACCTAGGATGCTACAGGCAAAAGCAGCTAAGGGAATCTCCCCAAACCACTAAAGTCTCCCTCCAACCTTCCCTCTTCCTCTTGCTCTACTTCCAGTCCACGTTTCTGGAAAGAATCTGGAAGCATCTGTGACCCCGGGAATTCAGGCTAACCAGTCCTCTCCCATACAAATCAACCCTCACCTATGGAACCAGAGGGGAATAGAGAACTATGCAAATGTCAATATGATAAAGGATCGGGGACCTACTTGAACCACCCAAGTTCACCCAGGGTCTGGGATGAAAAGCTCTCCAATGTTTGGTCCAGGCATCCTCAAAGAAGACGGTCAAAGTGCCCCCTCTAGCAGGTAACCATCAGACAACTCTTTGAACAGGCTACAAAGCTCTCAGGGACCACAGTGGGCTAGAGGGCTAAAACAATTTACTGTGGGCTTTCGATGCAGAGGACATGAGATTTATGGGATCCCCCCAACTGGTCCTAAGGGTCAAGGGTGAGACTGAACACAAGAAACAAGCATCAAAATACCCAAGGGCTGTTTTATGAAGAAAGCCTTAAGCAGGCAAGCTTGGTGAGACACCTATTTAAAATTAAAAAAAAAAAAAAAAAAAAAAATCCTCTTCTATCAGATGTCCCTAAGAGCAGGCTGTATAAGGCAGCCCAGTGGAGGGAAAGAAAACAAATCCCTGGCAAGAAATGGCCACCAGGCACGCACACAAACAGTTCCGCTCCCGGCTTGCCAAGATGTCAGGCACATCCTGGTTATGAGAATAACTCCCTGGTGAGTCAGGGTTGATCCCTAAGGCAGCCCAGGTGCCCATCCCCCAAAAGCTCAGGACCAAACTCAGAGGCTGGAATGGATGCACCCAGAGGACAGGGGAGCCAGCAGGGAGGTGGGTAGGCTATCAATGTGATTAAGGCCAAAAGATATGTTCTACTCTGGCCTCACCTTCCTCCTCTTTATCCCTCACCCCCACAGGGATAAGCAGGCAAAAGTCAAAGCAGGCTTCTCCCAGCAGCAGTGACCTGTCCAGGCAATGTGACCAGGGAGCCAGCAGCCCAGGGCCACCCCCAGCAGCCTGAACAAACCAAACAAGAACAAACCAGGTCCCCATAGCAAGAGCCCTTTAGTTAGGTCAGCAGTGCTCCCAGTTTGTTTGGATGCTTTTCCTTCCTGGGGATCTCTGCCTGTCCTCCCCGCCAGTCACCAGCCTCCTGGGGGCAGCTGCAGGCTTCCAAAATGCTCCAACCAGCCTCTCCCACTCAGGTCCCACACACTGACCCAGAAGACTGGGCCTGGGAGGAGGTGGGAGTGTGGCTTTTGCAGGAACATAACCTTGACTAGCAGTCAGTCATAAGGACAACCCCAGGGCGTGAACAACCTTCCCTCTCTGTCTCTGGCTCACAAGGCATAGCTGGAGCCTGATAAATGAGACACAGTTAATTAGAGCTATAAAGCCAGCAGGGAGGGAACGAGTGCCTCCCCTCAGAAGGCAAACAGAAAAACTGCATGCCAGGGGACTCTCTGAACAGAACCCGCAGCCAGGAACCACAAACGTCTGGAAGGAGGGCAGGACTCTGCCAGGCTCACAGGCAGGTGGTTAGAATAACCCCCAGAGGTGACCTGGCCCAGGATCTGAATCACTGGGACAGGCCCCAACCCAGACCTATTACTGATTGGGAAGCCCCCTAAACGGAGCCCAGGAATTGGTATTTTTGACAGATGCCCCGTGTCTCCAAAGCAGCCTATTTGGGAAACAATGAATCTAGTCCAGTCCCTTGCCTTCAGTCAGGAACTGAGACTAAATGAGAGGGGCTAGAGAGTCACTCTTTTTCAGGGGAGTGGTTGTCTTTGGGGATTTTACAGTTAAGACTTTATGAACCTTGAAAACAATATGCCAAGTCAAAAATACACACTCACATATTGCATGATTCTCTTTATATGAAATATCCAGGGCAGTAAATCCACGGAGAGAGAAAGCAGGGGTTAGAAGAAGAGAGGAGACCTTTCTTGCAAAATGATGAAAACATTTTGGAACTAGACAGAGCTAGCGGTTGCACAACAGTGAATGTACTAAATGCTATGGAATTGTTCTCTTCAAAATTGTTAATATTATGTAAATTTAAGCTAAATTGAAAAAAAAAACCTCTCTGACCTATACAACATTATACTTCTCCAGTGTGGATCCAATACCTAGGAGCTCCCACTCTCAATACGTACTTCTTTCATTTCATCTCATCTCGAGCCCTCATGCTACCAAAATATGCAGCTAGAATGAGTCATAGAGAAGGCAGGCTGGGGACTGGGTCCCTGGCCAAGGCAATCCTTCAAAGTGCTGTCAGCATCATCCGCAGAGCCAGAGCAGCCACACAAGCCTTCCTGTCCCCGGCTGGAGCGATGGCTGCAGACTTGGGGCTAGTGTCCACTGCCAGCTCACAACAATCGTCAGCACCCACACCGTGACACATCTCAGTGTCTTCATCAAACATCACCTCCACCCCCAGGGCTATCTCTTGGTCCCCAGCATGCCCTGATGATCCAAAGAGGTGAAACGATGTGCCTCATATTATTCAGAGTAGGAGGAAGAATCTGCTGCCACCCAATCCTCCCGCTCTGGG